GGCGCTAGCTTTGCGTCTCCCTGGTCTGCTGGGGGGAAGCAGATAGTGCGGGGTTGCCTCACCCCGTTTGTAAGTAGGGATACGATGTAAGTCGGATCCATGTAACCCGGGGACTGCCTGTATTGTGAAGAAGAGTGTATGGGTCAAATTGAAGTCAGTATGATCAATATACCAACTTCTGATACATGCAAAAGGGTGGTGAAGGAGTTTTGTTACTAACCATCACATCAAAATAGAAAATGGGCTTTAAGCACTGGTCTGTTGTGTATGAAGGGAAATCAGTGTTTTGTGGCAATTCAGTTTGGGAGACATCTGCGGGAGTGTCAGGCAGCCAGTAGTAAATTATCACTAATGTTTCTAAAAATGATAGACAATAATTTTTTTTTAACAAAAAACCACTGCAGCCAACATGAGCTACCTATTTTGGATGCCTTGATGATGGCTAAAGATGAATTACACCAGAGTGGGATTTGGTGGTTGCCCAGGGGCCGGTGATCGTATTGATTACATTCAATATGGGCAAAGTGGACAGTCCCAATCAGTAATATTTATGTTTGGTGCTTCAAAAGGGTTAATTTCCAAAAGCTGTTGAAAATTATGAAAAAAGTGGATTGAGATAAAATATTTAGACAGAAAAATTTGAATGAAAATTGGAAGTGCTTTAAGAAAAAATTATGAACGGGGGGAAAAGCCACAATTCCACAGTAAAAAAATAGGATAACTTTGGTTAAAACCCATCCAAGGATATGGTACTGCTTAGAAATAAAAAAAAAAACCCACAATATATTACATATGGAAAAAGGAGTTAGGAAGTTATGAAAATTGATAAAAGGAAGCTATGGACATCAAAGAAAATTCCATGGCTTACAGAGGTAAGGACAATAAGAAGATGTTATTGACTATATTAGGAACAAATTAAATTCTGGCAGTAACACAACCCCATTTCTGGATGGAGATGGTAAAACTGTTAATGATAATGCAATAGAGGTTTGCAAAAGAAGTGTTCATTAAATATTTCTGTTCTGTATTGGAAAAGAAGAAAAATTTTATCAGATGAGGATAATGAGTCTATTAGTAATTGAGTAGGATGTCAGACAAATCTGCTATGGATAAACATTTTTAAAACCAGCAGGGTTAGACAACATGCACCCAAGTGTCCTAAAAGAGTTGAGTGAGAAGATATCTAGCCCCCTGATGTTAATTTTTAATAAAGCTTAGAACACTAAGGAAATTCCAGGAGCCTGGAAGAGCACTTACATGCCAATTCTCAAAAAGGGCACCTGGAATGACCTTAGTAACTGTAGCCGTTAGCATGGCAGTACTCGTGGGCAATATAATAGAAAACTTGATAAGGGATTTAATTGATAAAGATTTAAAAGATAAGAATATAAATAATACCCTCCATCCTGGATTTACGGAAAAAAGATCTTATCAAACAAGCTTGATTTCATTCTTTAATGAGATTATAAGTTTGGTAAGTTAGAAGTTAACTGTGTCAATATAATATACTTAAGACTTTTGTAAGGATTTTGACTTAAACTGTATGACATTCCAAAGTACTGATCTTAAATTACAGCAAAGGAGATTTAGAATAGATGTTAGAAGAAAATTTCTAACTCTAAGGGAATTTAAGTATTGGAATAAATTATCTAGAGATGTTATGGAATCTCTCTCAGAGGTTTTTTAGAGCTGGTTAGACAAACATCCGTTAGGGATGGTCTAGATCAGGCCTGTGCAAAATATGGCCTGAGGGCCAGATCCAGCTTGCCAACCCACCGGATCCACCCCGCAGAGGCTGTGGGGAGCCCCAGGCAGGCTCCCCGCTTGCCTCACCCCACCTGCACACTGCTCAGAAACTGAGCCTGGAGCGGAGGGGGGAAAGGTTTTAGGAGCTGCTCCCACTCCCAGAACAATCCCATTGGCTGACTTCTGGCCAGAAATTGGTCAATGGGAGCTGCCTGGTTCAATAACAGGTAGCTAAGTAGCACAAGGGGCTCCTAGTTATTCACAGAGCACAGGGCTGCAGCCTTTGCAGGAGCAAGGCAGTCAGGGAAGCTGATTCAGGAATAGGCTGTTGGCTGGTAAGTCTCCTGACAGAGCCTATCTCTGGTACCTCAGCCCCTTCATTCCTCAATGCTCTGCTCCCCACTTCTGCTCCCCATTTCTGCTTCCCTCCTGCACCCACACCCCCTCCAAATCCCCTGCCCCAGAGTACCCCTTCCCAGATCCGGCACCCCAATTCTCCTGCCCCAGATAACAACCCAAATCCCTACACCTCTTACTATACCCCAATTCCCTGCCCTAGGTCACATCCAACCTAGTGCCTTCTTCACCCAAACTCCCTCCCTTACCCCAAGCTCCCTTCTAACCCAACCTCCATCCCAAACTCTGCACCTCCTCCATTAATATCAGAGAGGAGAGCAGCCCTCAACCACTTTCCAAATTCTTGGAGGGGCCCCCTCATCAAAAATTATTGCCCTCTCCCCCGGTCTACAAAATGGTGCTTGGTCCTGCCACGAGTGCAGGGGATTGGATGTTGAGCTTCAAAAAGTTAAAACTTTACAGACACTAAAACATTAATTGCCAACATCCCATATCAAAATAAATGAAGTTAATATCCTTAAATCAAACCCTATAAAGTTTTCAAGAAGATGATCTCTTCTTTTGTTTACATGTAAATTTCAGTCACCATCAATGGAAATATTGTTCATCTGTTTAGGAGTGTATAGTAAAACAGATTTGTCATTGCATTAAAGATAAAAACCTAATCCTTACAAGACTAACTATAGCTATCTAACTCAAAGACTGACACGTGTCAGTCTGAACATTTTAGAAAAAGAGGAGACAGTTTTGAAATGTAGATGGTGGTTAAATTGACTCATATTAAACTCAGCTAGACTCAAAAATCCATTTCTTTATTCGTGCTCAGGCACTGCAATTTGCCATTTTACTTGGTTTTCATTTTCTTTACTTACCTTCTGCAGGAGTTCAATTTCCTGCTGTTTTGCATTGAGAACAGCCAAGGCTTGCTCATGCTCCAATTCCAACTGTTGCCGCCGCTCAGCAGCCTCTCGCATATGCTATTTCAGAGGAAAGAAAACCGTCTCATCAGAAGATTTAAACGCACCTTTCTGAAATCAAATATGGTAACATTTTAAAGCATGATAATGATCTCAACATGAAAATTCTCTTTGTCAACCAGAATGTGCAAATGAGATTGAATAAAAATTCTATCAGGCCAGAAAATCGTATTTCCACTGATGTGCTTGGTTAGTTTTATATAAATCTTCATTAGTTAATTGCAATACATGGCCAATGACATACAGTTAAGCAGTTTATATTTCATCTAGTAATACTACATACCAATTACAAAGATAGCTTCCCCAATTATCACCTCTAATATCATTAGCTCACAGACATTTACCTTCCCCCACATCCCACTTCTGTTCTGAAATGTGATTTGTCCTTTTCATATGTGTTCATTTTTTTAATTGTATCCTTTGGTATATATGGTTGTGACAAATTTTCTTCCACTATTTGATCTGAGGAAGTGGGTCTGGCCCATGAAAGCTCATCACCTAATAAACCACCTTGTTAGTCTTTATAGTGCTACATAGTCCTGTTTTTTGTTTCAGCTACACCAGACTAACACGGCTACATTTCTATCACTATACTACATACTCTCGATGCCTCATCAGAACACTGTGCACTGTATCATATGAAATAGTTTAATCCTCAGAAAATTTTAACTTTACAAATTCCCTGATTCTTTATTTGAAATCCTGTTTTCTCATTTGCTCCATGTATGTTAATCATAAAGAAACATTCTGATCTTGATGCTTTCTCTAGCTGCCTATTACTTATAACACAAAACAAAATTAAGATAGATGGATTTGGATAAAATTAACTACACAGTACCAAAAAAAAATAGTTTAAAAAAAGAAAACTTTCAATTAATGACCCAAACTAGTGTAATGCAAAACTCTTCAGAAGTGAAGACATACTTTGCAGATACCAATCTTTTTCATTAAATGATAACCAGGTTCAGCTTCACATTACTTTACTTTCAAAGTAATCTATGCAATAAATAGGAATTAAAAAAATCTCTTCCTAGATTCTAACCTCTTTCTGCTGAATCCAATATTACAGATTGAGAACACAAGCACAATAGGTTACTTGTGGCAGTGAGGGTTACTGCGTGAAAACCATAGCAGATAACTCTGCCTGAGGGAACAAATGATACTGGGTTGCCATTGGCTGTAATGGGGTCAGAATGTCTCTCACTGTGTATCAGAGTGAGGTCTTACCCAAGTGAGTCTATTGTTTGTCTTCTTTAATGAGTTACCATTCTGAGCTACATGGAATTAATAAAAAAGAGACAGCATAAAGAGCCTGGCTGGCACCCAGATAGATTTATTTGTTAAGACATCAACAGCTTCAATATTTTAACTGGTTTCACTTTGGTAGCTGAGTTCTTTAATATTTACTTTTCATTGATGGGTTATTGAAGAAATAACAACTTAAAATTGACTATTGATTTGGGTGGGTATCCCGTCTGAGATATTTTAAGAAGGCCTCATTTTCAGAGGGTGCTCATAACTTTCTCAAAATTGGGCTTTTTTAAGGCATCTCACCTCGGGTAACAAAAAAAATCAAGGCATCTAAAAATCATTAGTCATCTGTTAAAGGTTTGTTGATTGGGCATAATTTTCAATTTATTATGCCTTCCCCCAAGGCTAATGTAGCCTAAAAGCTGCTCTTCTAGATTTAAATCTGCACCACCATCTCCAGCGCACAGCACAGGCAAACGTCTGTTCGTTTCAGTTAAGAGTTCCATAGGGCTCATCAGAAAACAACAGTATACTTGGAATAAGTTAGCAACTTTCTATTATGCTCTACAACACAAGTTATCCTACTGCTACTTTCCTGCTAATGCATGAGAGGTAATAAAGGAATGATTCAAACTGGAGCACAGCTCCAGTAAAGACTAGCAAAAGGATTCAATATACTTTGCTACTGAGAGTGAATGACTTGGAACAAAAATGCAGTTTCCCCATTCCTTTCAAAAAAAAAAAAGACTGTCATTAGGTATTCGAATTAATTCAAGCAAAGTTAAGTGGTTATTTCAAAATTTAAAGTTGACAGGAATACACCTTTATTTGTGGACTAAGAATTGAGAACAAAAGGAACTCAGGGACAAGCGCTGGTCCAGAATTTAAATAGATGATTAGAACCATTCCTTTTGTGAGTAATAAGCAGCTGCTGAACAGCTTCTCTTGACAACAGTGACAAGCATTAATTACAACCCTTATCATTGGTTAAAAAGCCTGCATTCTATGAAAATTAAGTCCTTCTTCTTCCTATAGATAGGGCATGAGCAAGCTGTTTACATGATCTGTTCAAACACCTCTACTAGTGGAAGTGCATGAAGGAGATGGAAGGTGTATGTGCAAATCATGGATTCACACAAACTGGGCTCTTGTGTCACCAGGCTTTTCTAACCTTCTGCAATGGTGTTGCAACCTACTTATATGCCTGCTGCTGAACTGTGGTATAGAAAAATATTTCACTCTGAAAAAACTGTACAGCACACAAGTTAAATTTATTTTGGAGACCCTTTAAAAAAAAACAGCCAACGAGAGAGTAGAATCCTTGAATATCTTGCTAACTGTAGACACACCATTTCCACATTATTATCCATGGAAGAAAAATGTTGGAATGCTGGCTGTATCTCTTGAGAGATATTATATTATTGAACCATCTGTCACACAAGCCCATGAATAGAAAGCCAGTGCACCTTCTCCGCTTTCAATTTGATTTCATCCCACAATTTTGCAGTTCAGTGAAGCCTATTCTGAATGCCACTTAGGGTTTCGTGTGGTTTCTGTTGAGGATTTAGCCTCTTGGTTGCAGAGTTTATAACTAGGGTTACAGAGATCCTTATGTATTTTACAAAGTTACCCCAAAGGGTTCACAGGAAATACTTACTTTTCTCAGCATTTGGCTATCGCCAAAGATTATGGGCCTGATTCTTATCTCATGTACACTGGTATAATTTCACTCACCTAGTGAAGTTACTCCTGATTGACACCAGAATCAGATCCCGGGTCTTGTACCAGCTGCTTTCAGCCGCTCTCATGTAGAAGTTTACACTGCTGGCATTTTTTTAAATGTCTTATATTAAGGTCAGCAGTAGGGCACAGCATACACCAATAGTGGGCAAAAGGGCTTCTGTGGGCCGGATGCGGCTGCTAAGCGGGTTGATCTGACCCTTGGAGGCCCTGCCACTCCCCCGCCCCCAGGCCAATTATGACCTGGGGGTGGGGGAGCGCACGAAGCTTCCCCCCACCTTGAGAGCAGCACACAGTGCTTTGAAGTGCCGCGCACTGTTCACAGGGCGGGAGAAGACGTCATGTGCTCTCCCACCCCCAAGCCCTGATTGAGATTTCTTCCACCCTCCCCCATGCCCTGCATGGAGCTTACAGCATTTCAAAGTGCCATACTCTCGCACAGGGCGGGAGCAGGAGGGCGAGAAGCTTCGCACAGCTCCTCTGCCCCCAGGCCAATCAGGAGTTGGGGGCGGGGGAGTGTTTGACATCTCCTCCCACCCTGCAAGCAGTACATGGTGTGCTCCTCACAGGCCAATAAGGGTCTGGGGCGGGGGAGCTGCATAAAGCTTTCTTCACCCTTTTATGGCCCTGTGAGGAGTGCGTAGCACTTCAAAGTGCCACACGCTCCTCACAGGGTGGGAGGAGGCTTCCCACGCTTCCTCCGTCCCCAGGCCAATCAGAGTTCGGGGCGGAGGAGTGTGTGAAATCTCTTCCTTCCCTGCCAGAGGCATGGGTGCCTAATGGGAAGGGGGGGCAAAGAAGCATTCTGGCCCCACCCCTTCTGGATTAGGCCCTGCCCCTTCTGGCCTGTCCTGGGGCCACTTCAAAAATTTTTGAAATGGCCCGGCAATCTGCAATGACAAACTTTCTCACAAAAAATCCAGTTAACTCACTTTACTCCCCAAAGTTTTAATAATAGATTTGCTGTAGCACAGTTTGATGTTATTAAGACTTAACAATTTTTACAAAACCTTATACTAGTACAGAACATTTGCTAGACTGCTATGAAGAACTATAAATAATTAACTATACTATAAACTGGATCTGTAAAAATAAATGGACAAAGTACACGAGGTATGCAGGGGCCCTATTCATTGAGCTTCTTTCTTGTGTCAGTTTGCTTAATCATAGTATTTGGTAACTGGCAATTCATGGAATAATCAATTTCAAGAAACAGTTGATCATCTAGTCTGACTTCAGTGCATTTCAGAGTCATTTTAGTGCATGTTTAGAATGTTGCACTACAATTGTTGAAGTGGTGCTTTACAATCTAATCTAGTTTGGATAGCAGGTGAAGAAGACGACATCATTAAGTTTTCAGTGAAAACAGAAGCATAGCAGTTCTCTTTCTTTGGTGTAAATGTACCCTTTTTCTTTCCAAAGTTTCATACTCAAGACAAAGACAAGGATCAGCCACATAATTTAATTCCCACTCTATAGCTTTAAGAACAGGTGAAACAGAAAGGTTTTACCTAGGCTTTTACAACTCACCAGTGACTGGCAGAGCTGCATGAAGATGGTTGCATTCCACCTATCCCTGCTATGGCTGGCCTTACCTAGAGCTAGCATCCTAGAGCATCAGTAAACATGAAAATTCATTCTCATCTTTTCCCCTCCTCGTAAAAAGCATTAAAATTTAGTTCCCAAACATGGAGTTATTCAGAGATCACGAAGAAAATATACATTTAGAAGAATTCACAGAAAACTCAGGTAAGACCACACATTTAAAACCTTAGGGCAGGTCACTTCTTCCTGTAGAAAAATATGTAGGAAGAAACCTCAAGGTGGAGTGGAGAAGGTCCTGGATCTTGTAGTTTCGCCCAGATTAGAGGCAGGATTCCCACTATGGAACAGATACTGGGTTTGCAGAAGCCTCTTTGTTGCATCTTCACTCTATCCTCTATGCATTTGTAGTCCTGCTTCCTGTTTGCTTCCACCAGGAGTTGCCTTTGGAAGCTCTCTTAATGGGG